TTTGTGGAGTGCACGACTAATAGTTGTCCTGTGGACAGATATTCCCACCTGAGGTGTGGATCTCTCCAGCTCCTCCAAAGTTACCATGGGCCTCTTGTCTGCTTCTCTGATTAATGCTCTCCTTGCCAGGCTTGTCAGTTTATGTGGACAGCCAAGTCTTTGTAGGTTTGAAGTTGTGCCATACTCTTTCCATTTTCAGATGATGGATTGAACAGTGCTCTGTGAGATCTTTAAAGCTTGGGATATTTTGTTATAACCTAACCCTGCTTTAAACGTCTTCTCCACGATGTTATCCCTGACCTGTCTGGTGTGTTCCTTGGCCTTCATGATGCTGTTTGTTCACTAATGTTCTCTAACAAACCTCTGAGGGCTTTCCAGAACAGCTGTATTTATACTGAGACTAACCCCTTGATGCCGACGTAACACAAATATGCAGCCTCACAGCACTGGGCTTTTTTCCGTGGGGCCGCCTATTTGCGTACTTGTCTTAGTGCTTGGAGCGCGCCGCACGGGGTGCTCCCAGCACAAAGACTGCAGTGTCACTAAGAGCACCGGGTCCCATTCTAACGATCGGAACCCGGGACTCCCGATTCCAGGTCACATGATCACTGTGATAGCCTCTGATTGGCTATAACAGTGATCAGGCACTGTACAGCCTGGCCCCTTTGTTTTTTTTTCTCTCTCTCTCTGTGAATGGAGGAGAGAGATACATTGTATCTCTTTAACTCCTGGCATAGAGGGGGAAAAAATGTTTGTAAAAAAAAAAAAAAAAAAGATAAATATTAAAAAATAAAAGAATAAAGAAAAAATACTTAGATCAAGGTTTGATCTAGTTCAGTGCTAGGGTTAGTGTTTGGGTCAGGGTCAAAGGTCAGGGTCAAAAGGTCAGAGTCATAGGTCAGGATTTAAAAAAAAAATTGGTATCAGTGTCAGTTAGTATCAGTGTGTTTTAGGTAACAAAAGACAAAAACAAAATGCACACTATTGTTTCTGGGCTGTACTATGGGTACAAACAACAAATAACATACACATATATCGGATTTTTTTACTATTATGGGCCAGTTTTACTTTGATAATAAAAATAAAATCAGGTGATATCCATTACCATTTACCACCAAATGAAAGCCCAATTTGTCCTGAAGAAAACAAGGTATAATTCACCTGGATGTACAAAGTAGTTGTGATGATATATATGGTTTTACTAACACATGTCAACGTTGCAAAATTGTGCTTAGGCATTAAGATTTGTTTTACCCTTAGGCGTGACGGGGTTAAGTTACATACAGGTGGACTCTATTTACTAATTAGATGACTTACGAAGGCAATTGATTCAACTAGATTTTAGTTAGGGGTATCAGAGTAAAGGGGGCTGAATACAAATGCACGCCACACTTTTCAGATACTTATTTATAAAAAATGTTGTAAACCATTTATCATTTTCCTTCCACTTCCCAATTATGTGCCACTTTGTGTTGGTCTATCACATAAAATCCCAAAAAAATACATGTACGTATTTGGTTGTAACATGACAAAATGTACAAAAATTTCAAGGAGTATGGATACTTTTTCAAGGCACTGTTTATAATAACAATATACTTATGGTAAATCATCCAGAAACACATATTCTCCACAGGAAAAAAAATTGTTTTAAACAGTGTCATAAAATACAAAGCACAAAATGCTGAATGTTAAACAGCATATAGTGATCAGTCTCTTCTCCTATGGTTAAAACATATGTGCCTCCTCAGTGCTCACAGAACTCTCACCTTCAATCAAATAAAATCTCACCTGTATGTAATCATCCACCAAGAAATCTCCAATTCTTGGACACTCCAAAGCCTCCTACCCACTAGGGACTCTCCTGCTGTAATTCCCAGTGGCTCCAATAATATCTGGTGTATGGTCCTTTTAAGACTCTGGACCACTCATGCGGTCAAACTTATGTTGGAAAAAAATATATAAAGGCCTCTCATAGTGTACTACATTAATGTATGCCAATTTATTATTGGTATGCTATGAATAAGGCTTTGTGGAACCGAAATGCGTCATTTATGGATCCAGCATGTGGATTGTTGTTCTTTGAAAAAATAAATGGGACAGGGATCCTTTGGTGCCAACACTCAGCCAACCACAAGTCATCTTACATATACACTGGATTCTAGTGGATAATGGGGTATTTTTTTTAACAATCTTCAGCGTGCTGATAAATTATTGCCTAATGTTATGCAGAGCAAAACAGCAGGTTCATTTAAATGTCTACGCCAAGACTGGGTCAAGGGGTAGAAATAAAATACCAGGGTGGTTCAACAGGAAAAGGGCGTGAAAAGGACAGGACCTGCAACTCATGCTGCTGATATAGTTTACAGCTCATGGCAGGGGGGCCTACTTTGGTCTTTTTGCTTTGGGTGATAAAGGACCTTGTCCTGATGCTGGTTTACACCCTTTGCCCCACATATACTCATGTTTTCAATTGCTCACCCAACATTTGGACACAAAGAGGAATACCCAGTGCTTCTGAGTATGGGGGAATATTTCACTCTCTCACCTTTCTCATTTGATGCAGCGCTGGGTGCCTGAACAGAGAATTGCTTGGCCGCACTGCTGTCATGTGGATGCTGGGGGACAGTCCTTAGCCCTGTGTAAGCTGCAGCCACACTGAGTTTCAGAGGCATTCTTCTTTTCTCTTCTTCAGGCAAAGCTGTGAGGATTGTTTTGCTGTATGTATGTGAGGACTGTATGCTCAAAGACACAAAACAGAACAGGTACTCCTCATAGTGTAATAACTTTTATTAAATGAAAAAAAATCAGCTAAAGCAGTACATACAGGGCTATATTGATACAGTATTGAGACAAGGATAAACGAAAATGACTCAATCGATCCCTGAAGTCACAGGATGCATGATGCACTGCGTCGGACAGAAGAGTGCTGACATCATTTCCGGTGCAGGGATGATCACCGCCATCTTTGTTTATCCTTGTCTCAATGCTGTATGAGGGTTATAGCCCTTATGATATATGTGAGTGCAGTTTAGCTGATTTTTTTCATTTAATAAAAGTTATTACACTATGAGGAGTACCTGTTCTGTGTTGTGTCTTTGAGCATACCACCCATCTCTGTGGAAGCGGATTTCCCATTGGCCCATTGACCTTGATACGCAGAGGGAATATGGAGTTCCATCTTGGCGCAGTTCAACCTGTAATCTATAGGTCAATATGTGGAGGTGAGCGTGCTGCCTGGTGGAGGTGGATTCAGCTGTACACCAGTGGAAAGATTGATGATCACTTATACTTTGGATTTATCACCGTGTGGGATTTATTTATTTTACTGTGGAATGTCACCTCATCCTTTTGCCACATATTGTATTAATAATATATTGTTTGAGTTTTACACTGTATTCTACTATTCATTACTTGGCCCACACTAGGTGGTCGGCCGGGTGTATGTTTATTTATTGGATGTTTATGTATTTGCACTTTTTTTTACTTCTTTTGCACTTAAATATTAAGATTTGCTTGTGCTGTGTGTATATTCTTTATGTTATTTACTTCTTGTACTAAGGCTCAGTCGGGGTGTTTATTGCGTTTCACTGCTTAATTTAAGCTTTGGTTATGCACTTTGTGTAGTATGTATAGATTTTTAGCATAAGGGTTTATTTGTTAGTGTATTGCGCAGCACTTATTAACTGCTGCTGAGTACTCATCTGCCTGAATACAGATCCTCTGTATGTGGCTCAATACAAGTCAATGTGCACTTTGGTGTGACCAGCAATGAAGGAATTTCAACAGGTTGTAAATACTGAAGCAGGCCATAGCCCTGGAACTAAGGTTAATAAGTTGATAAAAAGGTGCAACTGTTCTTTTAAAACATCACCTCTTCCCCTTCTTAGAAAGTTGGGAAGCCTGACATAAAGAATTGCTCTGCACCATCGTTTTGTTCCTCTTTTCCCCATAGGAAATTATAATAGAGAAAGAAGCAGGATTCTTGTTTGCAGGTTTCCAAAGGCTTTTTTTTTTATAATGAAATGACACAGGTGACTCATATAAAATTGCAGAGAAGTTGTGCAATGTTGTCTCCATTTCCTACCCTGTACTAGAAACTTAAATGCAATCTAATTTTATTTTGTGCCAGTTATATTTATGTAGCACAATGCATTTAGCTGTAGTTATCTGAAAGACTTACAGTATTAACAATTTCCTTATGATCATAGCATCCAGTTAGAATTATTGTTTCATTTCCAACTATGGACTATAGAAGTTGGAATATGATTAGTTACTACAAAAAAAAAAGTTATTGTATAGTTTTCAGTGTTAGTGTACATTTATTAAACTCAGTCTTTTTTGGACTTTTTATTGATTTTTTTTTTTTTTTTTTTGCAATAAATGAAGAAAAACAACAACAAAAAAGTATATAACAAAAATCAATTGTCAGCTCTCACAAAATCTATTTTCATCATTATACCCTCCATTTACCAAAGTAAGACAAAGAAGAAAAAAGGAGGGAAATAAAAAATAAATAAATGGGAGAGCATTGTTTCCCCGCATCATGGGAATCATGAATCCATTAAAATAATATCCCTCCGAAGATATCTCCAGTACATCAAAACAAAAAGAAAAAACACATTCAGATCAAAGTCAAGGGATACCATTTACACTATATTGCCAAAAGTATTGGGATACCTGCCTTTATATGCACATGAACTTTAATGGCATCCCAGTCTTAGTCCGTAGGGTCCAATATTGAGTTGGCCCACCCCCAATTAAGTTCCTCCACCCCAAACTTGCTCATCCATGCCTTTATGGACCTTGCTTTGTGCACTGGTGCGCAGTCATGTTGGAACAGGAAGGGGCTATTCCCAAACGGTTCCCACAAAGTTGGGAGCATGAAATTGTCCAAAATGTCTTGGTATGCTGACGCCTTAAGAGTTCTCTTCACTGGAACTAAGGGGCCAAGCCGAACCCCTGAAAACAACCCCACCCAATAATCTTCCCTCCACCAAACTTTACATTTGGCACAATGCAGTCAGGCAAGTACCGTTCTCCTGGCAACTGCCAAACCCAGACATGTCCATCGGACTGCCAAACACATCTCCACTGCACTAGAGTCCAGTGGTGGCATGCTTTACACCTCTGCATCCAATGCTTTGCATTGCACTTGGTGATGTAAGGCTTGGATGCAGCTGCTCGGCCAAGGAAACCCAATCCATAAAGCTCTCTATGCACTGTTGTTGTGCTAATCTGAAGGTCACACAAAGTGTGGAGGTCTTTAGCTATTGACTCTGTAGGTAGTTGGCGACCTCTGCGCACTGTGTGCTTCAGCATGCACTGACCCTGCTCTGTCATTTTACATGTTGCTGTTATTCACAGTTGCTTCTACTTTGTTATAATACCACTAACAGTTGATCGTTGAATATTTAGTAGCAAGGAAATTTCACGGATCGACTTATTGCACAGGTGGCAAGCCATCACAATACCAAGCTTGAATTCACTGAGCTCCTGAGAGCGACGCATTCTTTCACAAATGTTTGCAGAAGCAGTCTGCATGCCTAGGTGCTTGATTTTATACACCTGTGGCCATGGAGGTGATTGGAACACCTGAATCCAGTAATTTGGAGGGGTGTCCCAATACTTTTGGCAATATAGTGTACTTGTAAATACTTTATGTTTTTTTTAAATTTTATTCTTCAAGGATTCCAAATCCTGGAATCTCTATGGTGCGTTAGCTCCTCTAATAAGCATACTCCTAAAGTGGAACTGTCATTACACAGAAAAACCTGTTGCTCTCATCTATAAGGGCCCTTTCACTCCTGCTCTATTTTCTTTTTACTGAAACGTCTGCTACCCTGCAGTGTGCTGTAGTACAGACACGCTCTCTAGAATGTTCCAGTGACATTCAGTACGGTTATATTGTAGCTTACTAATTCTTAGATGTGATGGCTGCATTAGTTTCCCGTTTCAGGCTTTCTTTCTTCTATTTTCACCTGGTGATCTGGCCAGTAGGTCTGTGATTTTTCAGAAGCTCAGGCTGTCCATCATAATGTATCCGTTTACATGGATAAGACAGACCAGGGTTGATTAAAATTATCAACTTTTATTCATCCAATTAAAATCCTTATTCCAAGAGGAAAAAACTGTTTGCTGTAACAGATGATAGAGTGTAAGTCCACCCCCCAGACTGACAATGCTGCAGTCTGCTGTACCTCCTGTGCTCATTCCTCCAGAGTTGTGTCTCACTAATACAGGAGGTGTGTTACTGGCCAGACCACCATTTGAAAACAGAGGGAAGAAAGCCAAAGAAAAGAAAACAGATGCAGCCACCACATCTCATGACGCAATATGTTACGATTTTGATTTTGTGTTTAACACTACTTTAAAAAAAAAGAGTGGTGCTACATAAGAATCAGACCAGATACTGAGAATTACAACTAATATAAAGCAAACATGAAATGGTACTCTGTCCTGTTTACATGCAAGGAACAAAACAGAGAATTATATGTATAACAAACGACGTGGTGCAATGCAAAGTCCATATGTAAATGTTGCCAAAACAGCAAAACACATATTAACGGCATTTTACATATATGTACACATCAGAACTGTCTAGCAAAAAGGACACTTGGCACCTTTTCATGCAAGTCTAGCACTACCCTCGCAAGGGCCACTTGATTTGATTGGGTCCCCCTAAGCTCTGCGCGGCCAGGCAACTCGCATTTTACATACTTGTGCTCTCAGAGTCAGGAAAACAGCTGGTTTTTAGTTGTATTTATTAAGGGCTTAACAACTTGAATGGGGTCTAGGGGTATATGGGATGCCCAAGGAACTGTAGAACTTGAGGACAAACTTCTCAGCAACTATGTACAAAAAGGGTGGACTGGCAAAATAAAGCAAATATAGCACTGTCCCTTTTTTCGGTGTACGTCCTCAGACCCTGGATGAATCCTCGTCTTCATCCAGCTGGGCTGAGGGTATCCCTGAGCAAAGAGGTCCCAAGAGCTTGCAATCAAGCAGTCCCAGGTAAAGACTAGTTGGGTATTGCACACCTGACCGCCCTCTCCCCTTATCCGGCCCAGGGGGTGTAGGAGTACACACACTGTCCTGTCCTGTCAGCGTGGTGGATTGGTAGCTGCTTTAAGGCCTTCTGCTGGGCTGACTCCTTCCCTGCTGCTCAGGTTGTCCTTCCAAGGAGACATGGAGGCACTAAAGATCCTCCCGTCCAGCATCCTGCCTGTAGGTAGGCTCCCCTCCCTGGGGCCCCTTCCTAGGCTCTACACTCCATCCTTCCTCTCAGTCCACCTTCCACTGAACTCTCCACTCTCCCCATGCTCTGTCATATTTGAGGGTTGTCCTGGTCACCATGCCCAGCCTTCTGCCAGGAGATTGGCCAAGGTCCCTCAGACATGCATATCTCGGCTTCTTCCCCTCCTTCTCCCCATTCCATAAAGTTCTCAAGTTTCTAGAAAGGTGGGAGGGCTCCAGAAGCCCTGACCTGTAGAACCTCTCACCTTGTCCCGAGTGAACGCCTGCCTCACTCCCAGGCTGACTAATCCCAGGCTGCTACTCAGCATCTAAAAAAAAAAGAAAACAAGTGTATATCAAGAAAACACAAAATGTAGGACTTTACTGGCATTTAAGGGTAACCCACACATTTTTGTATAAAAGTACACATTTTTTCATTACATCAGAACAACATTAACATTTCTGTAATTGAAAATAAAATTGCTCAATATAAATTCCAATGCTTCCTACTGCTGACTCACTCTACCACATAATAACAATACATATCTCAAAACATTGATAGTGTGGTATCTATAGCAATCATCGTGATGGTGAGTCCTCATGAGTCAACGCGTTTCTCTTATGCTTCCTCAGGATGCATGAGATTACAGCAGAGGTTACTATATTAAAGAACAAGAAAGTGTTTGATATAAATGGCAAATAGCACTCAGATTAAAAAATAATATATCAACATATATAGAATTATAGCTCCACCTTAAATGAGCATGTATCCACAACATGAATAGTCCTCTTGGGAGGGCACTGGAGCACATACAGTAATTGGAAACCTGGTCAATTGCAGTAAATCTTGCTCTATGACAGATATATACATCTGACCATGCCATATAACCATAATGAGTCATGCTATCCAATATAGCAACACCATCAACTGTACTTGCCCACTTGTTCAAAACTGGATATATACTGCTGGAAATAATAGTTGGCATGCAAGTCTGCACCGCTGTTGAGTAAGATAAGGTCCCTTTAAAAAGAAAAATATATGGGATTGGTAAGATGCTACATATGAAGCCAAATAAACTAAACAAATTACTATCAGGGGCCAAACTTTTCTGACAACATACCTCTTATGATATATATATAAATTTCCAGTAGTTGGACACATCTTGGAAAAGGACAGAGCATCGTAGCCCTCCATCCACCTGGCCTTCAAAGTGTTAGGGAATATCATAGATGTTAGCTGTTAAGAGCAAGAGTGAACAATTCAGGCCCCTATATAGACATGTTTGAAGCCCTTCAGGTAAAATATCTGCGCATTCCTTCTTTTTGCATTTACTAAAAGCACATAAAAAGATGAATAATCCCCCCGGAAGACAGATGATCTCAGGCATAGGTTCAGAAACTGAACTAGCAAGTCAATTAATAGACGAATATTTACAACCCCATGTTAGGAGTTTACCCTCGTATAGACAGGACACGCCAAACCTATTACGAACACTCAATGAGATTGTAGAACCATTAGATTATATATTAGTGGCCATAGACATTGAGGCACTATATTATTCCATACTGCATGACACTGGTTTATGTGTCATACGGGCGTTCCTTTCAGAAAGAGACCAAGCTTCCAGACCGTTTAACAAGTTTATTGTGGCTCTTCTCTCTCATATACTTACCAGCAATGTCTTTACATTCAATGGTTCCCACCTTCTTCAGGTGCAGGGAATTGCTATGGGCACTTATTGTGGCCCTACATATGCCGTCCTGTATCTTGGGGGGGCGGGACGAGATTTATTTTCAGATGAGGCTTTGACAGGGTACCTTTCCAGTATTTTATGCTGGTATAGGTATATTGATGATGTGTTGATGCTTTAGTTGGGTAGTACCGGTGTGCTTTGTAAATTTATTGACATCATTAATTGCAATAGATAAAACTTATAATTTACCTTCTCCTATAATCACAAAACCATATCTTTTTTTGGACATTCAGTTGACTATTCAAGAAGATGGCCATATAGGCACTTACCTATTTCGTAAGTCTACTGCAGGCAACACTATACTGCACGCCAGAAGTGCATGCTTACTCTCTGGTATGCAGTATTCCATATAATCAATATTTATGGCTATGCCGGAATTGTTCCAATGAGTTGATATTTAAAATGGAAGCAGATGCCTTACATCAACGTCTTTTACAATGAGGTTACACCTCAACTTGCTTGAAGAAGGCCTTTAACTGAGCCATTACTAAATGTAGACATGAGTTACTTTTTTCGAAGCCAAAACCAACGGACAGTAGTTCAGTAAGATTAATTACGACCTACTCCAATCAACATCATTTAATTAACCCTTTGTGCCAACGCCTCCTGGCCCTTTAAGGGTTTTCAGAAGTCGGGAGGTGGGGCGGGGTTTTAGGGTCATGTGACTGCCGTGTTTCACTGTCATGGTGGTCACATGATTGGGAAAGGTTCCGATCGCAAGAGGAGATCAGGACCTTTCCATGAGCACTGGACATGTGTGCTGGGAGCGCGCAGGGCATGCGCTCTCAGCACATATGTTTTTCTTAATTGCACACAAAGGTCCAGACACCGGGAGGCCGCACATTTGCGTGCGGCCGGCGCCAAGAAGTTAAGGACACCATATGTAAACAATGGCATTTATTTAATTTTACAGAAACAAATTAAAAACTATCCAGAGATTACCTACAGACGATCTCGATCTGTTCATGATCGGATAGTGAGGAGCCATTACATTAGACCAGGTCCTTCACATGGGGAAGAACCTGGCCTATTTTCCTGTGGATCTTGTAGTTATTGTCCATGGATATTGAAGGGTACTACCTTTTAATCTACACAATGGAAATCTACACAGGGTTAGACAACACATTGATTGCCAAACGAAGGGAGGAATCTACAGGTGAAACTTGAAAAATTAGAATATCGTGCAAAAGTTCATTTATTTCAGTAATGCAACTTAAAAGGTGAAACTAATATATGAGATAGACTCATTACATGCAAAGCAAGATAGTTCAAGACGTGATTTGTCATAATTGTGATGATTATGGCTTACAGCTCATGAAAACCCCAAATCCACAATCTCAGAAAATTAGAATATTACATGCAATCAATAAAACAAGGATTGTACCTCTGAAAAGTATAAGCATGCATATGTACTCGGTACTTGGTTTGGGCCCCTTTTGCAGCAATTACTGCCTCAATGCGGCGTGGCATAGAAGCTATCAGCCTGTGGCACTGCTGAGGTGTTATGGAAGACCAGGATGCTTCAATAGCGGCCTTCAGCTCTTTTGCATTGTTTTCAGTCTCATGTCTCTCATCTTTCTCTTGGCAATGCCCCATAGATTCTCTATGGGGTTCAGGTCAGGCGAGTT